CAGATCCTAGCTTCCTAAGCTAGGTTGGCAGATCCAGGGTAGAATTTACCCAGGGAAATAGCTCAGGTCAAGGTGTTCCTTTTGAGAGGTAGAAGGAAGAGGAATTTGTAGTCAAAACAGTTACCAACTCTCCCCAGAGTAGTATTCTACCTCCTTGGGAGTGTGTGGAAGTGGGAGAATACCTGTGCATGGCACTTTTTTTAAAAAGTTAATCCATAAACCAGGCATGCTGGTGCACACCTGCAACCCAGCTACTTGGGAGGTGGAGCAGGAAGATCACAAGTTTCGGGGAACTGGGTAGTTTAGTGAGACTCTGTCCCAAAATTTAAAAAAAAAAAAAAAAAAAGATGAGGCTGTAGGTCAGTGGCAGATGTCTTCTTAGCCTGTGCAAGGCCCTGGATTCAATCCCCAATATTAGAAAAAAAGTCATTTGGAATTGGTCTTGCACAGACATTTGGGTGAGAATGATCTTGATATTCCATATCATATAGTATGGCCACAACAATTTAAGCCTGAACAAAAGGTAAAAGTAGCATAATCAAAGGCCATGGTCTAAAGGCTCAGCCAAGAAAACCTCTAGGTCAGCGCCGTTGCAGGTAACCACCCCCAGGGCTGCCCTGCTACTGCTCGCATGCATATATTCACATATATTTTTCATAAAAGGATTATACTATGTATAATATTTATAACTTTATTTTTTGCCTTATATTTCATAAATATTATATTAGTTTCTTCAGTAGGTACTATCACCTTCAGGATCTATCAGAATTAAAGTTTCAACTCCAATTTTTGGCTTATAAACTGCTATTATGAATGAATGTGTTTGGTTGATATATTGTGTCAACTTGGGGAGTCTAGAGGTTTGGTTAAGTAACTCAACAATTTTATATCTTGGAGTAAACAAGACGTGCCCTTACCTTTCTGAGATGTTTATTGTGTCAATCTAAAAAGTTTAAAAGGTTATCTAGTGACTCAGCAGGGAGCCAGTGTGCTTACTTTATACTGATACTGAGTCTGTGCAAAAAAAGACACAAAGATTAAATGAGTGCTACGTGTCCCCTGGGTGGGGGTAGCCTGTTTACAATATTTAAAAAAAAAAAAAAAAGGAGATTTGTTCTTCTCTGCCACTCCCCGGTGTTGCTCTTGCTTTTCTTATTTTCTGCCACCATAAACTGTTGCCCTCTGCCATGTACCACTCTGCCTTAGAGCCAGCCAAATATAGACTAAAACCTCCACAAACTATAAGCTAAATAAAATTTTCCTTCTTTCATTTTGGGCGTGAGATATTTTGTCCCAACAACAACAACAAAATAACAAACACAGAATTATCCTGCGCCTTTTGACACACTGTGATTACTTTCCTGGGCCATGGTCCTGGATGTGGAATTGTTCAGCCACAGGGGATGAGCATTCTTCAGTGTGACAAGAAGCTGCTGGAGGGTTTGAGCTGGGAAGTGACATGAAGTGACTTGGATCTTTGAAAGCAAAGTAGTTTGGAGCAAGCAAACTGGCAAGGGGAAAAAGGTGGAAACCACCTGGCATGGGCCAGAGGCTGTGTGGATGGAGAGAGGGAGCTGCAGTGGGAAGGCACTGAGCACAGAGGCAATCTCACTTAGTTATCTGGATGTGCAGCTTAAAGACAGAGAAGAGTCAGGAATGACATTCAGGTTTTGTTCAACTGGGGCCATTTACAGAGCTGGGGAATCCTGGAGGAGGAAGGGTTTGGGGGATAAGTTGAGGCTGCATATTAGGCGTTCTGCTTTGTCTGTACATTGCATTGCCTATTAGAAACTTGTTGTTTTACCCATGAAGCAGTTGGGTCTCAGAGTTTGGAGCCCAGGAATGAGGCCAAAGCTGAAGGTGAGCTTTATGGAGTCATTGAGCGAGGATGGGGTTTGGAGCTGCGGCAATAGATGCGACTGCCTAAGAGAATCACTTAGAGTTTCGACATGGAGAACTCAGGAAAGAGCTCAGTGGCATTCTGACACTCAGAGTCTAGCTGGCGATGAGTCAGCTGCAGAGACTAAGAAGTGGCTAAGTGGTGGGAAACAAAGTCAGGAGAATGTAGCAAACAGAACGATGGCTCCCAAAGATGTCTGGAAACTGAGTAAGTTACATGATAAAGGGGAAGCAAAGTCACAGATGAAATTAAGGCTGCTAACCAGATAACCTTAAAACAGGAAGGTCATCCTGGCTTCTCTGGGGCAGCCCAATGTAACCGTTAGGGTCCTTAAAAGGGAAAGGAACGGCTTACAAGAAACAAAGCTGGAATGACAGAAGGACCATCAGAGGATGCAATGTTGCTGATTAAGAAGGTGAGGAAAGGGAGCCTCTTCAAGCTGGAAAACGCAGGGAAATGATTCTCCCCAGGGCCTCCAAGCAGTAGTGCAGTTTTGCTGCAAACAATTTTAGCAGGAAGACCTGTGTTGGACTTCTCACCCACAGAAAATAATCAGTTTACACTGTCATAAGCCACCAAGCTGGTGATCGTTTGTTATAGTACCAAATGATAAAGAAACACTGGGAGCAGGGCTCCTAAACAGCAAGAAAAAAAAACGATGTTAAGGGGGAGACAATGGGCCAATGTGCTGCGTGCCACTGAGAATCTCAGTAAGACGACAATGGAAAAGTGACCAGCTGACATGGACACATGGACAGCAGGGGTGATCCTGATCAGAGCAATTTAGCAGAGAAGAAGGGACAGAAGCTCAAGGGAGAGCAAGCGGGGGTAGGGTGGTGGTAAAGGACCAGAGTGTGTGCAGACATCTGTTTCAAAGGATTTGTCTATTTAAAGGTTAGAGAAATGGAGCATAGCTTAAGGGGTAGAGGATCTAAGCATAGGCTCATATGAATTCTAATGCATGTGTTCATGTATGTATCTTCACACACACGACTAGACAAGGGCAGAAAGGGTGTTCTGGGAGAAGAGGGACAACTACAGCAGTGAAGCCCTTCAGCAGGCATAAGGAAATGGTGTCCAGTATACGAGGACCAAGGGAAGCTTAGGAGCAGAGTCATTCATCCACTGGACTAGGAGGCAGATAAGAGAGTGTAAGCACAGACGCCCAGATATGTGTGATGGTAAATATTGTAATCTACTGTGTGTTACTATAATAAAATACCTGAAGCTGAGAGATTTGGAGAGGAAAGAGGTTTATTTAGCACACACCTCTTTAGGTTCAAGAGCAGACACCAGGATCCACTTGGTCTCACACAGCCAGTAGGTTCACACAGGAAAAACCAAACATTAGGCAACCTTTCTCTGTAACAATGGGAAGCTTCTGGAGCTCTCAATGATACAGAAAGCCCACAGCAGCACACCTGCCATAGGTTTGCCACCACTGCTCTGTATCAACCCTCTCTCAAGGTAAATATCCCAGTTTCGTGAGACCCAACTCATGCCTGCTAGGCCTAGTCCAGTCTCAAGAAATTTAACTAAGTCTCTCAAAAAAGACATCAATCCATTCATGAGGTAGGAACCTGCATGACCTAATTAGTTTTTAAAGGTCCCATCATTCAGCACCATTACACTGGGAATCAGATTTCTATGTAAGTTTTGGTAGGGACAAATCATATTTAAACCATAGCTGTAAGAAAATAATTCTTCATTAAGGACTCATTACCACACAGTAAGGTCAATATGCAGGTAACATGAAATAATTCACACAAAACATCTAGTACTGTACTTGGCACACACTTAGTAAAGTACTGAATTTAGTCTTCATTTTAGATGAGCATTCAACACTCTTTACAATGTACCTTTGCAGCCTCGTATTTTACCACTTTGATGCACATGCTCCAGTGCCAACTAAACTATACCTTTGTCCACATAACACACTGCCCAGGCTATTTCCTCTATCAAGAATTCCCTTTTCCCCTCCTATGCCTGTTTAAAAGATGATCTATCAAAACTCAACATGAAGGCTATCTGTGGCAGGAAGTTTTCTGTGACCTCCAATCAGATCAAACCTATCTTTTATGTCTATGGCAATAATTCTGAATCATAGTCTGTCCAATGTATTGTTGAGTGGCAGTTTTAAGGATTGTCATGGAATACTTTTACTCATGAATCAAAATTTTAATAAGTTAAAACTATTTTTGAAAGAAAGTTTGGCTTCAAACTGGCTCCATTTTTGGATGATAAAGTTTGGCTCTGTACCTAGTGAACTGTAGCCTAGTTTATATATAAGGAAATTCTAACCCAATCAAAACAAATGCCCCTGTAACCAAGAAACTGAGTCTCAGCCAATCACAGCAGCAGAATCTCCAGCCAATCAGCAGCTGAAAAACCCCAAAACATGGCTTGTAAGACAAATGCTATTGGGTTGTTTTTGTACCTCACACTTCTTTTCTCTGGCTATAAATACAATCTGCACATGGGTGGCATATTACTGTGAATTGTAATGAAAGCAATTAAGGTTTGAAAAATTAGATTTGCTATAATTTGATCTTTTAACAGAACAAACACCAGTTTTTCCCTAGGACCAAACCCTAGTCTTTCTCCGGGAGGGAGTAGAGTTGGAAAATAGGACACAACTCTAGCTCCTTTTCTACACCAGAATGAGCCATCTCCTTTTGAGTACATCACTTCCCAGCATTGTGACATTTCGTCAAACTGCTGGGAGGATCATGGACACAAACATAGTTTATCTTGTGTATTTTTACAGATAAAATGTTAAGCCCGCTGTTATATCATGTACTGTATCTCGCAAGAAAAATGTCGTATCCTTGTTCTTAAGTATCTGTCTACAAGCTTGTCTTATCTAGTAAAACATTTACAGATGGCAAGGCCTCAGCAAATATCTGCCAAACCAATGAATAAATGAAAGTAGTATGTGAGAAATCTTCTGCTTAGGATTTTCAATGCTGATTTCTTTTTAAGGGATCATCATTTTAAAATCAGAATATATCCAAAGCTTTAAGAGAGTTTGGAAATATATTAACAAGAAGAATCACAGTAACAATAGCAATGTGTACTGATCAATGTTGATGGTATTTACCCAGCTCATCTTGACAGAAGCTTCCTGGAGGATTGATATACTTCATGGTGCTCACATCTAACTTCCAGTTGTGTTTTGTACATTTAACAGACCTAGAAGAAAAAATTATACTTAGGCTTATAAAATATCAGAAATAAAAATTAATGTTTATCGTGCTTAAATGCATGGTTTGACAATGAAATTAGCTGAACACAAAATATATGAGAAAATTATGGTTAGTACTCAAATATCCAATAAAATGTAATTATCAATATGTAATTTTAAAAATTAAGATGAACTCAGTGTCACTAAAATGACACATGTTAGAGATTTACAGCAATAACAGAATAAAGTTGTCTTCAGAATAAAGTGTTTGTCCTCTGCAGGAGAGCTAAAAGAATGGGGTTAGCCTGTCAGCAAAATAGACTGAAACAAGAATCAGTCACTTCAAGGCTTTTAATGATCAAAATCATTTAAATAATTAAATGATCAAGCTGAATACAAAAACAATATGAATTCTTACAGATAATCCTTGTGCATAAACTACACAAGGATGACTAACACTGGAAAACAGACACTAACTAAAGAGATCACTGCATGAGTAACAAAATTCTCCCATTATAATTAATCCACAAACCTTAGTGTATGCACACACACACACACACACACACACACACACACACACATGAGACATCAGAAAGCAAGGCAACAAAATGCCTCCAAAAACTTCCAATCCTACAAAGCTGATGCACAGGGCATTGATTGAGGCCAGCTAGAGGGGATCAAAAGCCAAACCACTGAATTGTAGCAAGTGATAAAAGAAGAGACAAACAAACAAACAAAACACACAGACACAGACTGACAAAATACTCAGTGTGTTTGAAGATGATATAACTAAACAGAGAATAGATTCAATAAATGAAATGATCAGTGATCTCAGAGAAGACGGTAATTAAAAGCCAGTTAAACTAAACAGAACAATACAAAGCAGAAAAGACCAGTTTAGCAAAGAATTAGAGTCTGTGAAAAGTACTAATGAGATTAAAAAATTCTATTGAAAGTATGGGCAACAGAAGTGACTAGTATAAGAACAGATTGTCAGAGCCAGAAAACAGGGCTGATTCAGGAGACTATATACTCCAAGATAGCTTAACAACAAAGTGAGAAGATGGAAAATGGATCCAACAACTTCGAGATGACACAAAGAAGACTGATTTCAGGTTAACTGAAATTAGTGAAAAATCAGAAGATGGAACAAATGATATTAAAAAATGTGTTTATAGAAATCAGAGAAGAAAACTTTCCAGGTATGAGGAAAGAATTTAACATATAGATAACAAGGCATATAGAACCTTACATAGCCAAGATCAGAAAAGAAATTCTCCAAAACACATCATAGTCAAAAATCAAACTCAATCCTTTGAATCCTTGACTCAAAAAATGAAAGGATTCAGTGGAAAAAGAACTATAGGCCAATCTCTTTAATGAACATAGATACAAAGAAACTTTAAAACTGTTAGAAAAAAGCAACAAATTACTTATAAAGGTAAGCCCATTAAAATTGCAAAAGATGTCTAAACATAAATCTTAAAGTCTAGGAGATCTTGGAGTTACAATTTACAAGCCCTAAGAGAAAATGACTTCCAACCCAGACTAACAGATTCTGAAAAACTATCTTTCAAAATGTATGGAGAAATAAGGTCTTTCCGTGACAAAGAGCACCTTAAGAAATCAAAACCAGCACTCCAAAAAATTCTCAAGGATATTCTAGAAAGAGACAATGAAGCCAACAATGCCAAAAAATGTGGAATAAATACATCAGGTAGGGTGATCATTTAAGCAGAAAGGGAAAAAAAGAATCAGAGACAGGAAAATAAGGCAATGACACGAATAAGTCAATAACCCTAAATGTTAATGATCTTAAGTCCCCAATAAAAGACACATGTAAACATGTAAAGACTATGTAAACACAGAGGTTAAACAATGCATTCTTGAAAAATGAATGTGTCACAGGAGAAATTAGTTCCTAGAAGCAAACAATGCCAGTAAAGCATACCAGAACATATGGGAACAATGAAAGCCGTCAGAAGAGGGAAGTCAACAGCAGTAAATGCTCACATCATAAAAAATAGAACTAGCCCAATAAATGACCTAATGATGTATCTCAAGGTCCTGGAAAAATAAGAGCAATCCAAATCCAAAGCTAGTACAATAAATGAAAATTTTAAGATGAGAGCAAACATTAATGAAGTTGAGGCTAAAAAAATCAATTCTAATAATCAATGAATTGAACAGCTGGTTCTTTAAAATAATAAGAAAATAAAATCCTTAGCAAATCTTACCAAAAACAGTAAGGAAAAAATATATATCAATTTAATTAGAAACAGAAAAGGCAAAATCTCAATGGACACCACCGAAATGCAGATTATTACTAACTACTTCAAAAACCTGCACTTGAAGAAATCAGAGAACACTGAAGAAATGGATGTACTCCTAGATACATATGAATTATCAAAACTGAACCAAGAAGGTATAAAAAAATCTTGAATAATTCAATAATAGGAAATGAAATTGATGCAGTAATAAAAATCCTATCAAGTAGGAAATGTCTTGGACCCAATGGATTCACATGTGAATTCTATTAGAATTTGAGGGAAGGTCTAATGCTAATACTCCTCAAAATCTTTAATGAATTGAAAGGGAAGGAATACTGGCAAATTCATTCCCGGAAGCTAGCATTACTTTGATTCAAAAATGAAACAACATCTGGGTGTGGTGGCACATGCCTGTAATTCCAGCACTCAGAGACAGGAGGATGATCACAAGTTTGAGGCCAGCCTATGCTATACAGTAAGTTCAAAAAAGCCAGCCTGAACTACATAATGAGATCCTATCCCCCCAAAAAAAGAGACAAGGGCTCAATTTAAAAAGAAATCTATAGGTCAATCTCTTTAATGAACATAGATACAAAAATGCTCAACAAGCAAATACTTAACTGACAAACAGAATGCAACAAATCATTAAAAGGATCATGTATCATGGCCAAACAGGCTTCATCCTAGGGATGTAAGGATGGTTCAATATAAGCAAGTGAAAGAATGTACTACATCACATAAATAGGACAAAAATGACATCATCATCCCAAAAGACACAGAAAAAGTCTTTAACAAAGTTCAATGTCTGTTTGTGACAAAAATCCTAAAGAAAATATGCATAGAAAGATGCTAACTCAATCTGATAAAAGCTATTTATGACAAAACTACTGGTAACACCATTTTAAATGGGAAACTACTGAAAGCTTTTCCTTTGAAATGAGGAACAGGACAAGGATGTCCATTCCCACCATCCCTCTTCAACATATTCTTTGAAACTTTAGCCAGAGCTAAAGTTTTTCTTTAGGATTTTTGTCACAAACAGACATTAGACTTTGTTAAAGACTTTTTCTGGGTCTACTGGGGTGATGATGTCATTTTTGTCCTTCCATTTTTGTGATGTAGTACAGTTTTTCACTTGCTTATACTGAACCATAAGGCAAGAGAAAGAAATAAAAGGAGTACATACGAAATTATCCTTATTTGCAGTCACATAATCCTTTCTGAACAAGATCCAAAAACTTCCACCAGAAAACTCCTAGAACTAATAAATGCAGCAAGGTAGCAGGATTCAATGTTACACAAAAATGAATAGTGTTCCTGTACACCCGTAACAAACCCACCAGAAAGAAATTAGGAAAACAGTACAATTCACAATAGCTTTAAGAAAAATTAAGTACTTGGCAATTAACTTAAAAAGGAAGAGAAAGATGTCTACAACAAAAACTAGAGAACTCTGAAAAAAGAAGATCAAAGAAGACATCAAAAAAATTGAAAGATGTCCCCTGTTTCTAGATAGGCAGAATTAATATTGTAAAATGGCCATACTTCCAAAACTGATATATAGACTTAATACAACCCCACCAGCATTTCCCCCCAGAAGTACACAATCTTAAAATTCATACGGAACCAGAATATCTGCTGGAAGATAAAATAGGTAAAACTCTTGAAGGCATAGGAATAAGTAAGGACTTTTCTGAACAGGGCCCCAAATGCACATGAAATAACATCAAGAATCAACAAATGGGGGGCTGGGGATTTAGCTCAGCGGCAAAAAGTGCCTGCCTGGCAAGCGCAAGGTCGTGAGTTCGGTTCCCAGTACCGGAAAAAAACAAAACAAAACAAAAGAATCAACAAATGGGACCACAGCAAATTAAAAAGCCTCTGTTCAGCAAAGAAAAAAACACCAGGGTGAAGCGATAATCTATAGCATGGAAAAAAATTTTGCCAGATACTCTGGAGGACAAATACCTACATATAAAGAACTCAAAAAAAATTAGACCCCTCAAAATAAAAGACCCAACCAAAAACTAGGCAAGGGAAATAAGTAGACACTTCTCAGAAGAAGTTGCACAAAATGATCAATAAATACATGAAAAAATATTCAACATTGGTTGCTATTAGAGAAATGCAAATTAAAACAACACTGAGATCCCATCTTATCCCAGAAAGAATGGCCACCATCAAGAATTTAAATAATAAATGCAAATTTTTCTGCAGGGAAAAAAGGAATCTTCTACATTTTTGGTGGGAATATAAACTAGTACAAGTGCTATGGAAATCAGTTGGAGAGTCCTCAAGAAAACTAAAAATATAAATCCCATTCAGCCTAACTATTTCCCTTATAAGTATCTTCTGAATCTTTTTACAGTGACATATGCATACCCATGTTTACAGCAGGACAACTTACAATAGCTGAATCTTGAAAGTGACCTATATGTTCATCAACAGATGAATGGGTAAGGAAAATGTGGTATTTACACACAATAAAGTATTACTCTGCCATAAAGAAGGATAAATTTGAGTCATTTCTAGAAAAATAGACACATCCTGAGGCCATAAGTTTAAGTGAAATAAATTAGGCAAAAAGATTAAATATTGCATGGTTTCTCTCATATGAGAAACTCAAAATACAAATAATGTAAAGAGAAAAATAAAAGATAGATAACAGAACACAGGGAGATAGATATTTTGCAAATGAGAAGAGGACTATGAGATGGAGGAAAGGGAGAAGAAGAAGTAAAAAGAACTAAAATGTGTTATACACAGGTACCGACTCCCCACAATGAATATAATCATTATGGACTGCAAATATGTATGAATAAAAATACAAATTAAAAAAGATTTCAGATGGTGCTTGTCAGATAAAATACATGATACTCATTAAGGTATGAATTTCAAATAAAATGAATAATTTTTAAAGGTAAGTGTGCCTCAGATAATATTCAAAATATATTTACAGTAAAATTGTATTTACCTATACATTAAATGTAATTGAATAGCATGTACATTTTTATTTGCAATTCAACTTTACTTCAAAGTAAGCATCAAACTGTAACCAAACAGGATGGTTAGTACCTTTTCCAAATTTGCAAAAGCAAAGCTTCCCTGAGCTTTGAGGAGTGGTGTGCTTACAGGTAGGGTATAAACGGTTCAACTTCTTTTATTTACTTTGGTAGTGTTTATGGTCTTTTTGTTGAAAGTTCAAGAGCTTTCAACCAAGAAATATATCCCAAATCAGAAGCATCAAATCTTTTAAAACTATAAGTGACTACTTAAACATATATGTGAACTGTGGTAACATTCTGACCTTCATATATCCAGAATTTTAGAATGTTTTTTTAATTATAAGGTAAAATGTGCATTCCTCATTTCACTTTATTAAGGATTACTTTATGACCCCTCCTTTCTCATTAGTGAGCAGCCTGCAACCTTTCAAAAAATAAGAGGGAATGTTCCACCTCTGCTGCTGAATAGGCGGGGCCCTGGGAGAGGAAATTGGCAGGACCCTGTGCTCTTGGGTGGAAGGTATAGCAGTGTCATACACACGAGAGTTATGAAAACTTCAGACCTCACAAAATGAGAAGAACAGCTTACAAGATTTGCCTGACCTTGGTTACATATCAATAATGGCAGGTCAGCTGGAACAAGTAGGTCACTATTCTCACTGAATCCTGCAAAAGACAGATGAATAGCTGCAAAGACAAGTCAAGTGATAATATTGGGATCTGGAGACATGCATGGAGGAGTGTAGTGTGTAAGTTCCCACAGGGATGCACATTCAAGGCATAAAAGCTCAGCAAGGTGCATGTGGGGATAGGCTCAAGAGAGCTGGCTCCTCCTTCAGGACAGCAAAGAGAATGTGGTGGGCCTGCTACAAAAGGGCCCTGCATGTTTAGCAGCAAAACTACCATCAGTCACCCCCAAGGCTTTGAAGGAAAGAGAAAAAGGCCAGGGTGTGATAGAGCAATCAGTGTACTTAGGCGATCAAGCTCTGTACAGAATTACTGTGAGTTCTTGTAAGTAATCCCTGTCCATAAGCAACACAAGAAGCTTAGGGCATAGTTCACAATAATAATGAGCATTTATTGTGTGCTGACAATACACCACCAGCTAACCACCTCTTAAGTACTTTTTACAGATTTGACAACATTTAATCCTCTCAGGAACCACACAAAGTAGGTCATATTTTCATCTTCACTTTATAAATGAACGAATCATGGCCCAAAGAGGCAAAGAGGCTTGCTACCAATCTGGAGAGTAGAAGAAACAGTCCTCTAACCAGGCAGTTGGGAGTAGAGATAACACATCAACCACTAAACCTCAACACTTCCTTAAATGGTTAGCCAAGTATCCACTGTGTGAAACAACTCAGTAAACGAAGAGAAAAACCAGAATCTCAAAACTGTAATAGGAAGAAGAGAAAATGTCGATACCGATACCTACAGAAGCTTAGCAGAGAGATACAACCATGTCTGAAGCTTCCCTGATCAGAACTGAGAGAAAAAACAGAGGCAATCAAACTGGCTGTTGGTCAGTTACCTACAGATTCTCCTAGAGCAAAATTGCCAACTAAAAATATGTCCTATCATCTGCTTTGGATGTATTTACCCTAAAAATACATTCGCTGTTTATCTGAAATGCAAATTTAATGGGGCAGCCCATACTTTCCTTTCCAGTCTGGCAACTCAGTAAGGCCAAACAAGCTCCAGGTGCATCAGTTCTTTTGTATAACTATGGCTGGGAATTTCTGAACAGTTACCCAACTCCCTCTGAGAACACCAGCACTGAACTGCCCACAAATCCCCTGAGACACAAGACTGATGACACAATGGAAGAAAAATGCCCAACACCCATAGCTAAAATCACATGGAATAAATTAGACTAAAGAGACCTTTGAAATGGGTTAACAACCACTCACAGCATCAGGCTGACAGAGCAGAAGCCCAAGAATCTTTTCAGTCTCCTCTAGACAGTGCTGATATCTCTTCAGCAGTTATTGAAAAGAAAACCCAGCATTGCTCTGTCCCAGCGTTGCTGCTGTGCTCCAGAGAGGTGTGCTGGATTATGGTGGAGGACAGCAAAAGCATTAGCCCTTCTAAGAAACGACCAGAAGAGTCACTGTAGAGGGCAGTGCCAGCTGGGCTTCCACCGCTTTTGTTTTGTAATTGCAACTAGGCTGCCAGGAAAATCCTCTCTGCTTTCCAATATAGTTTGGAAATGTGCCCCCTGGTCCACCCCACTAGAGCTCCTAGGAGGACAGGCAAAGGGCTTCTAGCAGGTGACTGTATGCCCTTCCTACACACAGGCAAACACAGAGATGTATGGAACCTGGACATTTCACTCTGTAACAAGCTGCGAATAAGCTCAGGCTGGAAAACTAAGCCCAATGTGCAGTTCTGAGACCAGAGAGATCCTAAATTAAGAGTAAAAACTTCTGAAATTTACTACAGGAAACAAACTGCTGGTTCACTTAAAACTTCAAGATCAATAAAATGCCAGCAGGTCACCAGTGAGAAAGCAAAGGATTCTTGGTACCTTCCTTCTAAATCCTCGATATCTTTTATGAACAGGCCTCCTTGGTGTTTGCACAAATTCTTGCATGCCTTCAGGTGGCCCTTATTCTTGTACAAGATGTAGTCTTTGCCAGTGCTCTTGTTTCGAAAAAAATTGATTCCTTCTTTGAGACCGGCAGCTTCAACAGGTGACAGACACAGCAGGGTCTCAGTTGTTTGTTTCAGGCTATGAAAAGACAAACATTTCAAAGGAAACATTAATAATGTCAGGTGGGATCAGTGGGAACCTACACCTCAAAGCCCCTCCCTCCAAGCACCCAGGTTTGGTGTCCACCTAGTGAGGCCCAGCTTCCCCCCTTCCAATGATGCTTCCTTGCTCTGAAGGATCCTCTTCTCTTTTTTAAGGAACCCAGATGTTTCTCACTTGCCTGTCCATCATTTCCCGGCTCCTGGGTATTTCCAAAGAGTCACAGTTGCTCTTTCCGTTTCTGTTGCTCTTTTGTTCCCATGAGGTGTTAGTCTGCCTGCAGAGAGAATGTTTACCCCAGTTCACTACTTCATTTCCGTTGGTGCTATTTCCTCCCGGTACCACACCTCTTTCACAACCTGGCCCTATCTTCGGTCCCAAGCAGCTGCAGCACTTTCCCAGTCTCCTGCATCTGCCCTTTACTCTGCATGGAAGTAGCTCCTCTCCTTTATCTCTCACCACCATCTATCAGCCTGGAGACTCAGGTACAGCTCCCTGGCCCCTCCAGGTCTGGCCTTGAGGCCCTCCCAGGTGAGATCCCGCATGCTGTGTGAACACCCTGGCTCTGGGAGAAGGCTGAACACCGCACCTAGGAAGCCTCCTGCTTCCTCAAACAGGACAACTCTTAAAGTACTCAGTGTTGACTCTGAGTTTTCTCTCCCCACCACTCGGCAGATGGTATGTTCTCATGAGCTAGCTATTTAACAAATTAACCCTCTTGTGGCACTCTATTTGAATAATTTATGAAAAGCTCCAGCGACAAATGAGGAATTGAACCTTTTATATATTTTTTGTCAAGAAAACTACAGATGTCACATTTCTCAAAACCCTATTAATAATCAGCCACTCTTTGCAATGCCACGCTGAGTATAATGAAGCATTAACTTTGCCAAGAAGATTTTCAAAATATCTTTTTGCATATCCATGATACAAAATCCAGATTCATATTGTTCAATTTTACCTTTTAATCCAAAGGCCAGAGTTATCTTCTCTTGTTAACTTACAACTGATTTTTGAGCTCATACACATTTGGGGCACTTTTACTTTCATTTTTAGAAGTACTTTAATTTTCTTAAGCAGAAAATAGAAATACAGATGCTCCTCATTTAAGGACCTACCTATTTAACCAGTGTTTGGACTTAGGCGGCAGGTGCGCTATTCAGACATATGACCTGCTGCTGCTGCTGCTGCTGTACATCTTGTTTATAAAGCCTCAATGTCTTTTTTTGTACAGTACACTCTGTTTATATAGTACTGTAATATTTGCTGATTTTATTGTATAGTATAGTACTGTAGTTTCGTGTTCTGTTATACATTACAGAACTGGATACAAGAGGTATACAAATAAAAGGAATGTCATCAACTGGAGTTTCCCTTGACCATTTCTTTGTTCTGAATATTCTATCATACATACTATATACAATTCCTCATTTAGTGACCAAATCAGTTAATGACCTACTTGTGAGAACAGAGCATGATTGTTAAACGAGGAACACTTGTAACTGAAAAATAAGCCAGCAAAGGAAATAACAAGCTACTTCCAATCTTAAACTGGAGAAGGTATGTCTGTAATTATGACACCCTCCTCAGAACAAGTTCTTATGGTCACTTCTGTTCCCAAGTTCTTGGTAATTCTGTTCACAATGACTTGAAATCATTCTAAAAATATATTTCAAACGAACCCAAATGGAATTCATTATAAGCTTCACAAATCCTTTTTTGACTCCATTCTGTGAATTCAAATATTTAACACCAAGCCAAAGTAAGCACAGAGGCAATTCCTGGAATAATGCAAAGTGTAAAATGAAAACCTCTGCAGATGTTTTGTTTTATTTGATTGAGTAAACCAAATAGCCAGAGTTCTGTGTTAGATTCCAAACCTGGTAACATAGCAGATAAAGCACAATGTACTAACTATATCAGTTTCCAGCTCAATAGAAAGTCGCTTCAGAGCCTAAGGCAAAAAAAAGTATGCTCTTACATACGTGATTTTATGTATTCAAGTTTAATGCATGCCTATTAATAAAACTAAATAATGCATTTCATTTTGACATTTTCATATATGCAATGTTAACATATTTGATTCCCACACTACCACCAGTTAATATTAACTGTCAATATGACTGAATTAAGAAACTCCTGGAGAAGTGATTATATCATAGATATAGCATAGGTGATTATATCATTATATCATAGTGCTGTAGTCATCAGTGGATTAATCTACTGGAACTCATAGCTAAATGTGCTATTAGGAGATGGGACGCATCTGGAAGAGGTGGGTCACTAGGTACACGCCTTTGAAGGATATGTCTCTTGATGCTGATCTTCCCCTGTGCTCTGCTTCCTGGTTCCATGAAATGAGCAGCTGTTTCCCACCATGTCCTTCCACCATAATGTTCCTGCCTTGAAGCCAGCTGACAATGGACTGACCCTCTGAAATTATGAGCCAGATAAACCATTTCCTCCTTTAAGTTGTGTGTGTTCAGTAACATGGATGAGTCTCACACAAAATGTGTGAATGAGGGCAGGAACAAAAGAGTCAAATTATAAACTGTATAATTCCATTTGAAAAATTCTCAACAATAGGTAAAACTAATGTCTAGTGAGAGAAGATGAAACTGCAGTTACTGTTGAGAATGAGTAGGATGCGAACTAGTAAGGTGTTCAAGGGGCTTTCAAGATATTCATTTTGTTTCTTAAAATAGATGTTAATCACAAGGGTGTGTCCATTTTATGAACATTTTAAAAGCTGTACTGTTGTGATTTGTGTGATCTTTGTGAACAAATATTTTAACAAAAATTTTATTTTTAAAAAAGATGTGAATGCTGGGTGTGGTGGTGCGTGCCTGTAATCCCAGCACTCAGGAGGCTGAGGAAGGATCATTACGAGTTCGAGGCCAGCCTGGGCTACCTGAATTGCATAGGGAGACCCAGAGACCAAAAAAAAAAAAAAAGATGTGGATGCCAGGCATTTTGTCCCAATGATGAGAAAGCTGCCTAATGTACCCCATGCCTTCCCTTGCCCTCCTGTCCCCTTCCCTTGACTCCCTTCTTCTTCTCTAATGATTTCCCTTATCCTTTTACATTATCATTTCCTCACCTATGAGAGAAAACAAGTGATACTTGTCCAAGTCTGGCTTAACATGATGGTCTCCAATTTCATCCATTCCTTGGAAATGACATGATCTACTTGTTCTATATTCCTGAATAATTTTTCATTATGTATATATACCACATTTTCTTTCTCCATTCATCTGTTGATAGCACCTAGGCTGATTCCATAATTTGGCTATTGTGAACTATGCCACAATAAACATGGATATGCGGGTCTCTCTATAGTATGGAGACTTTGATTCCTTTGGGTATATACCAAGGAGTGGTATAGCGCGATCATATGCTAGTGCCAGTTTTAATTTTTGAGGAACCTCAATATTTATTTCCATACTGGTTGTACAATTTACAGTCTTACTGACAGTGTAAAGGTTTCCACTATCCCCACATCCTCACCAGTATTTATTTTTTCCCTGTGGTAGAGATTCAAACAGATAGGCAAGCACTATAGCTATGTTTCCCATACTTAACATTTTATTTTACTTTGTTTTATTCTGAGAGAGTGTCTCACTGAGTTACCCAGAGTAGCCCCAAACTTGTAATCCTCCTGTCTCATCTTGCTGGGTATCTGTGCTCTGCCTATATTTTGTATTCTTTATGACAGCCATTTCTTCTGCAGTGAGAGAGAATCTCAGTGCTGGTTTTGCATGTTGGTGATGGCTAAAGACATCAAGCACTTTTTCCATATACTTATCAGACATTTGCGTTTCTTTTGAGAAGTGTTTCTAGAGTTCATTTGCATACTTATTGATTGGATTACCTATTCCTTTGATATTTTGTTTTTAGTTCTTTATGTACTCTGGATATTAATTCTGTGTCAAAACAATTGCTGGCAAAGTTTTCTCCCATCTGTCAGCTGTCTCCTTACTATGTTTTTCCTTTGTTTGCAAAAGTGCAAAAGCTTTATAATTTGATGCAATATGATTTGCTAATTCTTTTTTATTGAGTTTATTGGTACAATTTAGATACATATATTGATCACACTAGTCATAGGGGATTTGTACCTGCACATGATATATCTTTCTATCTCTTTTTTTCCCATTGCCCTCCTGTCCCTTCAACCTCTCCTTATTTGCAAAGCTTTATTTCTACTTTATCTTTTTTTCTCAATTTTTTTCTTTTCCCTTCCTTTCTTTCTCCCTCCTCCCTCTCCCCTCCTGAGTTCTTATTTTCTATTAAACAATTTCTTCCTATTACACAAAATCTATTATACATTTTGGTTCTTATTTACACTTCTATCTTCTCACATCACAGAGACAATGTGATATTTACACATGTGTGTCTGATTTATTTCACTTAAGAGTATGGCCTCAAGGTGTATCCATTTGGCTAGAAATGTCTCAAACTTTTCCTTCTTTATGGATGAGTAGTATTCCATTGTGTAAAATATTACATCATTTTTATTCATTCATCAGTTGAATGGAATTTGTGTTGCTTCTAAGATAGTGGCACAAACTGTGCCACTATACACATGGGTGCACATATATCACTGTGGTATGATACTTTTAATTCTTTTGGGAAGATACCAAGAAAGAGAGTAGCTGGGTCAAATGGGCCCTCTAGTCCTAAATTTTTAAGGAATCTCCACACTGATTTCTATAGTGGTTGCACCAATCTACACTTCCAACAACAGTGGAGAAAAGTTCCTTTTTCCCCCGCAGCCACTCCAGCATTTATTATTGGTTGATTTCTTGATAATAGCAATTCTTTCTGGAGTGAGATGAAATCTAAACATTGTTTTAATTTGAATCTCTCCAATGAACAGTAATGTTAAGCTTTTTTTCATATATTTGCTATTTCTACTACATCTGAGAAGTGCATATTCATCTCAGGTTGACCATGTTTGGATTGGGTCATTAAATCTGGGGGCTCTGATTTTTTCAATAGCCCTTTGTCTGAAAAACAACTGACAAAATTTTTTCCCATTCTGCAGGTTGTCTTTTCACTCTGTTGGTGATTTCTTTTACTATGCAAAATTTTTTTAATAAGATAATATCCCAGTTGCTGATTCTTTGTGAGAGTTCCTGTGCACCTAGGGCATTGTTCAAGAAGTCTTTCCCTACATCGTTGTCTTCAAGAGTTATACCTATTCTCTCTTCAAGGAGATTTAGTGTTTCTGTTTTAATATTTAGATCTTTGATCCATTTCAAGTTTAGTTTAGTGAGT